TTGATATACATGAGGTAATGATAAGCTATAGTCGGGAACGTTCTCCAGTCACAAGCATGAAGCCTCTGAGTCATGAGTGACTTCCCCTCTCCACCTTTCAGCCCACGTGTTGCACCTGGGCACACCTGTCTGATTTTCACTTCCGTGTTCACTCCCCGCATCGGCCTGCATACCTGCAGCAGGGACGACTGGCAAAGCCTCCTTGTTCCACTCCCATCACAAGAGTTCAAGCTTCCCTCTTCACGGCAGCCTGCACATCACCACCTGACTCATTTCTAAACTACAGCCTCGATTTTATTATTTCCTCTGATAATTCTTCTGTGACCCTCCATTACTTTTTAGTCTAGCTTCCAAGGCCTCAGTCTGACACCAGTGTGCCCTTCGAATGGCATCTCTCATTCTTCTCCATTCATATTGATGTGCCAGCTGTTGTCTGGATACGACCCGTACTTTCTCTACTTAGTCTTTGTTCAGACAATAACTCAGTAACTTCCACCTGGTCTGCCCTATAACCTTCCTGGGAGTCTCTTGTTACAATCACACCTGTTCTTCAAGATTAAAACCAAATGCCATCTCCTCCTGGAAGCTTTTTAATTTCTTGAACTGGACAAGGTCTCCCCCTTTCCTCNTCCTCTTTAACCATTCTGCCGTACTGTAGAGCAACTGGTTTGCACTCTAGATTTCAAACCCTTGAGGGGAGAGCATTTTAAGAGCTGGAACAGTACCTGGCATGAGTTAGGTGCTCAATCAGAATGTATGGAATTGGAGAGAATGATTACCTGGACCCAGTTGATAGAGCTTAATAGGTGTAATATTTATCAAATTAAATAAGCCAGAGAAGATTTATATCAAGATATAAACATAGTCTGTATGTACACACATGTCTATATATACACACACACAGTCACGTTAACCTTCACAGTTGTGGGAGAATTCTCAGATGGCTCCCCAAATTCCTGGCACCCGGTGTACACCCATCTTCTCTCACTTATTCATTCAAAGACTATTCTAGGTGTTGATGTGAAGGGATTTTGAAGATTAGGGAGGTCCCAATTAGGGAGATTATCACATGGGCCTGACCTAAGCACATGAACCCTTTAAATCTGGGTCTAGGGGTCAGAGACAGTGGAAGTTGGAGATTCAGAGGATGAGATGATTTTGACACAGGAAAATTCTCCGGCTAGCTTGAAGATGGAAGGGGCCACATGGCAAGGAATGCCTGTAGGAGCTGACAGTGGCCCCCAGCTGACAGCCAGTAAGAAAATAGGGTCCTTAGTCCTGCAACTGCAAGGGAATTCAGTGAACCATCCAAATAAACTAGGAAGCAGATTCTTCCTTGTGAGCCTCCAGAAAAAAATGCAGGCCACCAGATACCTTGATTTTAGCCTGCCAGTCCCAGAACCTGAGTTGCCTAAATCTCCAACCCACAGAATTGTGAGCTTAATAAATGGGTTAGGAACTACCTAAGTTTATGGTAATTTGTTAAGCTGTAATAAAAAGTCAATACAGCAGTGTTGCTGATTTCTCAAGGATTAGTTATCTCTAAGTTAGTTTTCCACTCTGATCTCTTTTGCCATCTCCTGCTCTGAAGGAAATTCAGGTGAGAAGACCCTAGAATAACAAAGAGAAATTTAACATACTAAATAGAAGCCACGGAGCTAATTCTTTGTACCATTTGGAGAACAAAATTGTTGCTTTCAAGAAATGACCATGCCTGTGTAAATTCATGAAAAAATGTGCACAGCCATAGGAAGTTCTCAAGCTGTCGAAAAGTCTGAGAATAGGAATAGGACCCTTTAACTTCCTCTTCAGCAGCTGTGATATTTCCATCAATGAAAGGGTTAAAGATAAGCCTAGAGAGGCCCCATCACGCCTCCTGAATGCTCGCCCTCTTGAGGGAACCACCATGAAGACAGTGGTGGGGTTTAGTCCTAATGGATTTACTCTCTCCAGGAATGAGCAACTGATCTGGGATATAACACATAATTCACTCACTTGGGTTTTAAAAAGAACATTCTACAAGTGATTCAGAAGAAAAAATAAAGCATGATTCCATGGCCTAAGACTGTGGAAGGAAGGGTAGGTAACCAGAGGGTAGCAAGGCTGTGAAAAATACAATTCTAATTGGCCAGTTGTAAATTTTCTTACTAAGGAAGTAATGGGGGAAGTCCCTAAAGAACCCATAAGCTCTCGATTAGATTGATTCATATTTTCAGGGTATGTGTGCAAAGCAGACAAAAAGACATATAACCAGGAACTGTTCTGCCCGCAAGAATCATGCCTGGAACCAAAGCCCGATCGGTGCGGTGAAGAATAAAGATTATTTTCCAGTACTTATGTCTAGAGTAAGGAATAGTTAGACCTGCTGTTTAGGGTGGATCCTGCTGGTGGATGGTCAGGGGAAAATCAAGTTCCTCAACTCCTACTTTCCTTCTGTTATTAGTCAGGGAATATTTGAAATCAAGGGAAGATTTAACTATCCTATGTAGGTTAAAGTCTGGCCTGAATGAAGCAGGTTCACACAATTTATAAATGAGTTGGATAAACCTTTGCAGGTAAACTTTGAGACATCTTGAAGAAAAGGAGACATGTAAGAAGTCTCCTGATAGTAAAATGAGCAAATTCTAAGAAAAGGTAAAGCACTTATAAAACGTGATTGCAGATAATCGATAAACCTGTGATCAAGTGCTCTCTTACAAATAAAGAAAATGTGAATTAAAACATTGAGATGTATTTAGGGTACTAAATTAGCTAGTTTTACTGTTGTTTTTGGTTTTGGGGGGGGTTTAAGAGAAAATACGGCACTGGAGACGTGGGGGGATGTTGGCACCTCCCTGCACTGCTTGTTGTATCCGATCTACCCAGTATTCCTTCCAACTTTGTCACCAGTTTTTTTCCATATATTTTTTCCTCTCCACTTTTATCTTTAAGAGAAAATACGGCACTGGAGACGTGGGGGGATGTTGGCACCTCCCTGCACTGCTTGTTGTATCCGATCTACCTAGTATTCCTTCCAACTTTGTCACCAGTTTTTTTCCATATATTTTTTCCTCTCCACTTTTATCCTCTATGTTTTTAGTCATTGATTGATGAAAATGTTGAACTGAAGGTGACTGTGCACTGAGATCCACATTGTGCATATTCCTGAATTTGATCATAGTTATTAATGTTATTAATTATGATAACAGTTATTAATGAGTTGTCAACTTAGCATCGTCAGCTTGTTTATAAGCTGACAGACAGCCCTCATTTCCCCACATCGTCCACAAGGGCCCTGTTAAATGTTTCCCTAAGTCACAATACATTATGCCTGCCATGTTTCCCTGACCAATTAGTGACTGTGCAAGAAGGAAAGGAAAGCAGTCCGACCTAATCTGCTCTTTGGGCTCCCATGCTGCCTCCTGGGAGCTCTGCTGCTTCTATCGGGAAGACACAAGCTATCACTTGAAACTCTTGCCTGACCCTGACTTCAGGTTATCATCATCTACACTTTTGGTAGCTCCTCCTTTGTGCAAAGTTCCTTGTTCCTTGCTCACCTCTAGTCTTCTTACATGTCTCCTTTTCTTAATGTTTTCTGATTTTTTAAAATTTCAGTTTAAGTCTTTAATCTGTCTGGATTTAACTTTGATATATGGTATAAGCTCTAATGATCAAAATTACTTTATTCTAAATGGTTAACCAACTTTCTCAACACTAGTTATGAATAATTCATCATTTCCCTAATGATTTGAAAAAGTAACGAAACAACCATAACAATAATGATTAACAATAGCTAACATTGTTTATTGCTTACTCTGTGCCAGGCATTTTTAACATGTATTAACTCATTGATTTTTCACAGTAACCCTAGAAAGTAGGTACTGTTGTTGTCATTGCCATGTTATTATAGCATCCCTCAGTGTGGAAACTGAGGAAGAACCAAATTGCTCTTAAACTGATTGTAGAAATCTGAGTTGTGCTTAACCACTCCATGCCTCAGATCCTCCTCTGTAAAAGGGGAATATTAATAGTACCCAGTGTAAAGGGTGGTTAGGAGACTGAGTTAATATTTGTGAGGTGCTTAGAACAGTGTCTGGCACATAGTAAGTGCTAAATAAGTGTTTGAAAATTAAAATGAAACCTTTGCTGTAGTCTAGAACATGATTCTCTGATTTAGTCATTTGGCCCAAATGCACAACTCGAATGGGGGTGTTTTTCAGTTTATATCTAGGAATCTCCCTGGAGTTGACCTGTGATGCTCCCCAAAGAGAACATTTTTCAGTGTTTTTACATCAGTTTTCTTATTTTATCTTCACAGCAACCTGCCGAGCAGGGCAGGGTGGTACTATCCTTGTTGAGGTATAGGGAAAATGACAGGTGACTCTATTCAACAGAGGATATTTGTTTGCTATATTTGACTACTGGAGCTAACTATCATTTTTGGAGCCAAAATTCAAAGGATGTCAGAATGACTGCTTCCTCCATGCAAAGAAAAAGTGCCCATGAAAATCTATCAAGTGTAGTTGATTTGAAAGAGGACCAACAAAAAGCAACCCGTTGTGTAGTAGTTTTATGCTCAGTAAGATCAGCTTTTTTCTTCTTTGTTACTTTAGTATGGTCTGGTTTTACACTTCCTTTTCCAAAATACCCTAGAACTGTGGTTTCTCGAGGGCCTACATCATCAGGGCCAACTCGGGGCACAAAGGCACTCTGAGCATTCTTGGGATTCTTTGTTAAATGGGGCCAAGCCCTGGGTTAAGATGAAATGAGCACAGTGGGGTGTGTGCCTCCTGGGAGGGTCGTGATGTGTTGCTCTCTGAGCTCAGCGTGTGGTTTTGTCCCATAGATTCGTCACTCACGCTGCAGCAGATGGTGGGTGTCGCACTGGGCTCCGTGGCCGTTGTGATCGTTCTCGCATTCCTCTCCTTCTCAGCAGTGTGGTATGTGAGACTGTCATTTTTGAGAAATGAGTGGAATGGAGGGGAGGATGGGGATGGAGTCGTGAAGAACAGCTGGGCATGAGGAGGGTCAGAGGGGTCGGGTGGAGGTTGTCCTGGGCTCAGCAGAGTGCACCCAGCAGGTGAAAGGCATGGGTAACCCTGCAGCACAGGGTAGGAAAGGGGATGCCCTCCTGGCCCAGGAAGAGGGTGGGGGCAGTGATGGCCCTCTGGCCACTCACAGAGGGGTGGCTGATCTACCATGACTGTGCACCTGAGCGGCACGTAGGGATGCACAGTGGGCAAACCCAAGTGTGTTCATTAGTTGTCTCTTCTGTTCACCTCCTCCGTTTCTAGATTGCAGGTGGGTGTTGTGTGGGAAGGATGCACTCTGCTGGGACAGCCGTTCTGACAGCTCCTCAGGGGCCTGCATAGAGGCCAATGTGGCTTCCGTCTGGGGGGCATATGGGCCTGCAACTTTCTCCATTCCCAGCTTTGCCCCATTCCTGGGTTCAAGATGATGACTATCTCTATGGAATCCCCTAAAAGGAGAAAACGCAGGAATTGCTGATGTCTTCCCTGCTACAGGACCAGTTCTGTGTCTATGAACTTGAGACTCTTGATGTATAATGTAAAATTGACCATGGATGACAGGAGACATGGGTCTGGGCTGGGACTTCCTCTTAGTGATGTTTGAGAGTCAGCTCCTCTAGGCATTGAATGCAAGAGAGTCTCTCCATCCTACTTTATGGCATTTCTGTTAATTAGTTCAGAATCCATTCTTTTACAGTATGCCAGGAGATGGGCTTAAGTTTGAATTTGACTTTATGAAGGAAGTCATTAAAAGGAATAGAGAACATTAACATGGGCAAATGTTTCAAGCACTTTAGAAGCAGCCCTTTTCCTGCAATTAGTTGATATATCAACTAGAAGATATACTAGCTTGGCCACACCAGTAAGTTCCCAGCCATGTCTGCATGTCTGTTAGGGAGCATTGCTTTGATACAATTCCAATTGTCTTATATATTGAAAAGTGGTGTCTATATTCTAGTAAAAGTATTCTGTAATTAAGATTGTTCTCCACTGGTTAATTTTTTTTTTTTACTGAGCATCTCCTAAAAATGCTCTGTGCCTCCATTTAGAAATTTGGGTTTGGTCAGTGCAGTAACAAAAGGTTGAGCAATATCAAGCCCATGGCCAGACCAGAGTCCACATGTGCTGCAGGGGAGGGGTAGCGATGGCAGGTGACATTCCTTTTATCTACAATCTCAGTAACCCTGACTATTAGTATATCACGAACCATGCAACATTAGATATATGCAGTGCCGGGTCTACGGTCGTGCTAAATTTACAGCTGGAGTGTATTAGATTAGACTTTGGAAGCCTGAATCCTTCCGAACCATCAGTTTAGTAGGAAACAAATGGAGGAGAAAGACAGAAGCTTATGGCTTCTCCCCTTCTCCCTCCCTGGCCAAGGAATAAAAAGCACAGGAGAGGAAATAGGGGATGGTTATCCCTCAACCCTCAACCCCAGGGTGAGACATATATGAATGTGGCCCCGGAGTTGTGCCCCATTGTCCTGAGGAAAAGGGGCAATCTTTCCAACATGGTGGGCTGGTGTGTTCTCTGCTGGTTTGCTGCGTGTTGATGGGGATGGATCTGAGCAGCCTGGGCTTGTGGTCTGATGAGGAGACAAAAGGAACAGGTGGAAACTGTCCACGAGGCTGCCCCGCCCTTGGGGGAGGAGAGGGGAGCAGCCCAAAGTGTATCCACTCAACTAGGAAGAGTCACAGAGAAGGAGAGAGTATCCTGACACTTGGGTGTTCAATGCCGGCTGTCAGCCCCTGGTCCCTGCCACTATTAATCAGTATTAGGAATAATTATCCTTTGCCCTCTAAAGTACCACCTCAGACTAGAACTTAGGATCATTTAAAACCCTCCCATCTCTTGTGAATTACAGAGCAGAACTCTCAACAGATGGATGAATACAAATAGTTCTTCTAATTTTTATGTGTAATAATTCAAACTCTTACTATTTTCACAGCTCTTGAACTACATTTGAAATCATTAAAATTATTGTGGTTAGTGAAGGACAGAGCCTCTGATGAATAAGCATTTTCCTAAAAGCCCATCTCTATCAAAAGAGAGAGTCTGAGCCTCTCCCCACCTTATCTTAT